CTCCTTTGCTTTGCTTTGCTTTGTTCTTGGATACACACATCTTTAGGGTGGTGGTCCCCATGCATCGCCTTATAGAACTAGAACCCCCTCGAAATCACGTGCCACACGGTGACACAAGACCACTATAATCTCAATTCTGAACCAGATACCACCATGCATGTTCATCACACTCAGTTAAAGAAGATAGCAGACACTGTCTTGCAACTAGAAGGAAAAGGTTCACTCGTATGTGGGTCGTACGTGGACCACTCTTAGCCATTGCTTGCATCCACTGCCTACCACCTATATCAAAATAGTACGTAATACCAAGTTTATGTGAACCCTTTTTTTCTTACCATATTAATTGTTGTTAATTTAATGCTTTTTAAAGCGAGATTAATTGATACGAGTCATAACGATTTAAGTTTTTAATTAAGATACTTAGGATTTAGGATTTGAATTATTATCATTGAAATAAATTATGTTTAGAATGAGATATTTATTTTATATATACTTACAATTTCTAAAAGAGATTTGTTACTGTTTTCGATCATAAATAATTGCTACTTCTTCATAATTATCTTTAAAAAAATCTAATATTTTTGTACGAATATATTCCCCACTATATCTCGATTAATGGTTGGATTAGCTTCTGTTGGTTTTAATTGGGTGTACTCTCACTCAACTTGAATTAGTGAATTTATTGCTACTTTAGAGAACAAAATGTATTTGCAGCATATACTATTTGTTTGGCTATATTTTTTCATGAATATATACTTGGCGGAAAGATAAAGAGAGTGTTATTCAATTATACTTTGTTATGTTGCTAAATACTTTTTCAATTTCAACCTTTATATTGAGTTCTCAATTGACTTCGTATGGAATGTTTGATGTTAATTTGTATATCATGTTTCAACTTAACAAAAGAAATACTTTATTGTTAGATACTCAAACCATAATTTAAAATTTTAACTTAATTTGCCAAATTTATTAAATATAGATGAAACCAAACTAGAATTTGGGATTTCCAAATTAATTATGTAAGAAGCAAACTAACGTGTTCGTGGCTGTATTAGGAGGAGGAGAAATAGACGAAGATTCAAGTGGCCAACAAACATTTTTGTCCACATAATTATGGAGAAACCTAGCCCTTTGAGTCGGTCAAAATTTGGTGCTCAAAAGGTTGGGGCAACCCCTTATTAAGAAGATGTAAATATAAAAAGATGACATTACATGATAGAAAACAATAAAAGTATACGTGGTGAAAAGAGTAGATATCGAAATTTATATAAGGAAAAATAGTTAAAATTTATTACTTAACATGATCTTATATAGAATTTAAATTAGTTGATTTTGATCATTTGATCTAACATAAAAAGTTAAAGAATGATATAAAAAAAATATAGAAAGTTAAAATTAATTGTACTCTAATGTAGTCTTAGATCAACGTGTGCGTCGGTGTGTATTATATATATATATATAACTTAATTTCAAGGGTTTTTTTTTTAAATATTCAAATTAAATTTAAAAGAAAAGAGAATATGGAAATATGTTTTTATGATTAGAGAGAGTGTAGTTATTTTCATTAAATGAAAAAGATTCTAAAAAATATATATAATATTATATACAAAAGTTAAAAAAAAAAATACGTGTAAGTAAAAAAATTTCACCAAAAACTTTTTGATATACAAATATATTTATATCTAGTGAAAAATTCGTGTTTGGTTCTTGTTATGTACAGAAATTTATTGAGTCAAACAAGATTGATTTTTAGTCCGGTATATTAAAAATATTCATGGCAGAACAAACAAAATACAAATCTAACAAAATCCATTTATGTTAGATTCTTCAAGTTATGCCATTTAAAAAGAATTCCTCATATTTTATATGTAATCAATTTCATCCTTTTATGCTTTTTATATAATGGTTAAATTGTACTATAAATAATGTTAAATAAATATTAATATGTACTTTGATATTTAAAATAAAAAATTAATTAATAAATAAAGTTATCTATATACTAAGTGAAAATATTCTTTTTAATATACAAATTACAATTTACATGTATCTTTTAATAGAAACAATTTTATTCAATTTAGATTAGATTTTTCGAATGAAAAACTCTTTCAAATATTTATGGAGTTAAAACAATAAAGTTAAAATAGCCTTTCAATAGTTTATTCACACATTCGATGGAAATTATTGTATATGTTAATGGGTTGAATGACTATTTTTCGTTAAAATTAATTTTTTTTTTATATTTAAATGATAAAAATGAATCATTTTACATTAAAAAAAATATTACAATGCACTAACAATTATTCAAATAAAAAGACACACATTCCTGTATATAGTGGTCTCACTGTTTTTTTCTTTCCAAAATTAGGTTATCATATTTGGAAGGAAAAGAAAAACCCTATCCTTTCCTGGCTAATGTTGTTGGAAGGCATTTGTCCACGACGTCCATAAAATTCCCATCTCATCTCCTCGTCTTATAATTAATCGATTAAAAGTTTGTGGGCCACTACATTTGCCCAACATGTTTTTATTTTATTATTATTTTATTTAGGTGCCTAAAGTTGACCAAAATATCAACAAGACAATAACTACTATGGCAAATGCAACTATTTCACAAGTTGCATTCTGAGAGTGAGAGACACCAATTGCCAGTTTAACGCAGCCATGATGCAACCATTTTTCTTTACTTACTTTGTGGCCCCATAAACTTTAATCACATTTCCAACTTTTGTAATGATTCAAATCAAAGAATGGAAATAACATTAAAATAATCCAAAATAGTAAGTTGCAGCAAGAGTATAAAATTTACTATCAAGTGGCATTAGTGTGACCTTTATTATTAGTATAAGAATCAATTCACCAAGTCCCTTTCAATTCCAAAGTTCAAAATTAAACACAACTTGATCTTAGTTTTGCTTTACTTGAAAGTAAATTCTACAAGTGCTGTTGACTGATTTCCTTTTATAAATCAATATATATATAGAGAAAGAGGGTTGACTAAGTTAAAATGATTCTAGCAATATTGAATAATTTTGTTTTAAAAACTATTATTAAATTATTTTTTATCTTGTAAATTATATCTATAAAATCATTTGTTTATTTAAAATTATTTAATACTTTATTAATATACATTAGGATTAACACGATATATTATATGTATTTTTGAAACATTCAAATAAGAACCATATTTAGTTTGTGTTTGGTTTCAATTTTTAAACGCAAGTTCTTCATCTCTCTCCACGTCTAAGTATCAATTTACGGAGAAGTTGCTATTTTTTCCTTCCATTCAAGCATGAAAAACTACGTTTTGACGCTGATACAAACACACAGTTAATCAATTTCTTATTATTGTTTGAATTTTACAAATAAATATTTACAGTTTAACAGTTTTATTTTATTTTTTTAGAAGAAAAGAAATCGATAAAATTGATAAAAAAAATAGATTTTAACAGTTAAATTGATAAAAATCGACTTTCTGTATAAAATTAATGAATGCATTGAAGATGAAAGCTTATGTGTAGTTTTTATTTCTTTATTTATTTATAATGATAATAAGAGATTTTAAACATCAACAAATGACTACATGCAAACCATCCAAACCTCGACTACTAACCCAATTCCAGTGATTTGTTTGCGTATTTTTGTTCCAAAGATTTTGACAGCCATAAAAACCCTGTCCAAACCCTATCATAAAAACCCAATTCATTATTAAACGCGTAAGTTAAGTGAGTTATATTAAAAAAAATCCTTTCCTAAGAATAATTTTAATATTAGTATTGAATATAAGATCAAACAATAAGACCGACAATAAACTGAACTACCTTAACATTTTTTTAATAATTAATTTACTAAATTTGATTTATGAACTATATTTAATATACCTAATTTGACTTATAAATCAATTTGATTAGGGATGATAATGAAACTCTGTGAGAGTGGGTAAAAAGACACCATTTTTGTCTCATTGAATAAAAATCTACCCAATATTTGCTTCATACTCATTTAGGTATCCATTAAGTGACTACTTGTAAATTTTATAAATATTTGTAAATATCAATGAATATTTAAAATTTTTAATTTTTTTTAAAAATACAAAATTTAGGTTTGTATAAGTTAATTTTATTGAAATATTAAAGATAAACAATTAACATTAATTTTTTAACACTATTTTTTTTTTAAATTTTCAAAATAATACTAAAAAATGCAACATACATATGTAAATACTTATCTAATTTTACTTAACTAATACTCACATATTACTATACCCATCTCATTCTATTCAATAATGGATAAAAAAAAATCCATACTCTACTCATTTATTATTTTTAACAAATTTTATCCACAATGAATTTTTTTGTCATCTCTAGATTTGATAAATAGATTTTTTTTATCTATCATATGATAAATAGATTATTTAAATACATGGCTTTTTATATATAAATAATAATATTGTATATTAATTAATTTAAGTATATAATTTTTTTTATAAAATATGTAGCATAATCAAAATTTTAAACCAAATCGAGCCAACAGTTTAAATACAGTTGTTCGTAAATTTAAATCGAAAGAAAATCATATTGAACTGGAGTGTGATTGTTATTAGAAAGTGTATTCCGATCTAATCAAACAGTATCACCTTAGAATTTTTTAGTTTTATCTTGATTTGAGATTTGAGATATTCAGTCATTGCGACTGATAGCACGGTGACGTGATAGATACTTGTTGTGCTGAAAAATGCATGAGATTAGTCATAGAAAAAATCAACGTCCCACCGGCCTATCAAGATAATAAGGAGTAGGTAGTGGCATATATTTCAAAAAGGAAAATAAAATCTTCTGCCCCAATTTCAAAAAAGTTATATATTATAGCATTTTACATGTATAATCCCCTTTAGAACCCCTCACTTTTGCCGAAGGCAACAGCTAATTTCGCAAACCAGAGTAGCAAGATAATTTGATAATGAAATTTGGCCCTATTACAAGGTTACTAATAATGCACATTTCTATCAAATTCACCCCACTAAATTCAATGTCTGCAATATTTTCAATATGACAATAAGTCTTGATTCTTCTGCTATGAACATGATGAAAAGAATTTAGTTTCTGCAAGTGCTTCAACTATTGGCCCTACTATAGCACTCATTAATACCAAAAGAGTATAGACACTGGGATAACTACCAATTATATTTTCCTTTATGGATCATAAAGTGATACATCATTATTACAAAAAGAAGAGCAAAATTCATGATTTTTATGTGTAACCAATACTTCATTCTGTCCTTAAGGCCTTGATCCAATCAAGTTCAACTCTGAAATCACCTGGTCCAGATCTAGCACCTGGGACACCACCCTCAGCATTGACAGATAGAGACATGCCCAAAACACGGGATGGATTCATTTCCATTTGTGCATCTATAACGTTCCCTCTCCATGTAGGTAAATATCGAGCTAGAGGAATCTGGTCAATCAAAATTAATACAACATATCATACCCATCACTTATGTTGATATGCAACATCAGCTAGTTACAACTTGCAAACAAGAAGAACAAAAGCATTATCCAACTAGGCCACTAGATAATTCGGGTATATGGATCACAGGACGTCATTGGACTCAGTTAAAGACCATGAGTGATCCATGTTTAGTATATCGACAAGTTTTATGCTGGCTACTGAGGAACTAACATAACCCTTCTCCTTTACCTGGGCTGGGACCAATTATAAAACCATAACCGGAAATCCACTAGGTACAAAACCTAGCAAATTTTTTTTTTTTTTTTTTTTTTTTTTTTTTTTTTTTTTTTTTTTTTTTTTTTTTTTTTTTTTTTTTTGTTGATATGCTGTCCACTCAATTTCAAATAGTAAAAGATCAGAGCCCAACAAGACCTTCTTTATTCACTAACATATAACAATGTTGATACTTTCATGAGTAGCAACCATGACAGATGATAAAATTGACAAAAGTGGTTCTGAATAAAAGCAACACAGGAATTCCAATGTTAAGCATAAGATCCACGGAAACATGCAACGTGTTTCTTATGCACAAAAGGTGCCTCATACAAAGCACATATATGACACTACTAGAAAATAGGAACATGGCAAATTTTAAAAATAGAACTACAAATAAAATTGGGAATACAGTTAGAAGTATATGAAGTGCATGTGAAATGTCTAACATATGGTCTGACATGGTTATGATTTATATGACACAAACATGACTATTATATTGAAGAGTGTAATACTTCCCTGGCTTCCTATTATAATGCCTATTGAAGTGTTAAACTGTTAATGCTCTATAGATTTGTATAATCAAAGCAAAATGTTATACTATTCATAATCATACCTACACCTTTCATAAACATTGCAGTGTTAAGACTTCTAAGGAACTAAGGAAGTAGATGGAAAGGTACAGGGGCAACGCGCATGAACTTTCGTTGCATCTTATATAAGTTGTGTTAGTCCTTATTTTCCTAATGGAAAGCCTTTCACATCAAGGTAACTAGTTTTCGACATTTAATATGGCACAACTACTAAAACATTCTATGGCCGGAAAAACAGTCATAACATAACTACTATACAACAGGGCATTGTACATGTCACTCAATTATTGAGCAGACATCCTACAAAATAACAAGTTTGCACAACACATTATGAAAGCCAAGTCAATCATGAGTCATTAGGTTGCAAGAAGTGAGACGCAAATAGAACTTACCTTTGTAATGTACCAGTTGCCTTCAGGAACATAAACAAAAGCTTGCCATGAATTATCTTCCATCTGTCCAGGCGAATTGACCCAATTTTCCGTGTAGATCTGCACCAAAATCATCCCACTCACAAGTATACCCCATAAATGAAATTTAGGCCCTCTAGATTTCCTATCTTAACTTTGAGGAACTGACAATACGAAAAAGTGCACTCACAGTAGATATGTAACTTCTTCCATCGCCTTTAAGTTTCATAGCAATAGTATCATATGAATCCAAATCAATAAAGCCATCAAACTGCAAAGCAAAGAATTGTATAAAGACAACATATTTAACATAGAATTCAATTTTTGTACACTGTCATTGAAAACATTTTTACTCTATCAACTAAATAGAAATCACCCTAGCTATGATTTTTAAGATAGTACAAAACTAAACAATATTATCATATTTCAAAGATAACAATCACTACAATTAGATGACATCGTAAAAAGCCTTTATACAGTCACTACATTTTAGTTAAATTATGTAATATCAAAAACAAAATTAAGCACCAATAATCACATTAATTAAATCCAACATGCTTGTTTTTTAAAAAAGCAACCTTTTTTGAGCGCATTCCACAGAAGCCACTCCGAGTGATGTTCCATTTAGAGCCCTCACAGACATCGAGAGAGAGGTTCCCGGAGAAGATTCCAGAAGTTCCTCCATTTTCCGATTCTGTTATCTGCAGAGACGCAGAGGACAAACCTGGGTAACACCCAAAAAATTAAAAACCCCGAAAACTAAAACAATGAAAAATCCAAACTTTACTTCTACCAAGGAAGTAGGAACATGAAGCAAAGCACCCCACCTCCAAATTCAGAATCAGAATACAAATGCCACTTGCTTAGCTCTTGCTTGGAATTGAAGCTGAATATGGGTCTTTCAGGTGGTGGCATCAATTCATCAAGATTACCGGATATAGCTTTTGTTCCAATGCACAGAAAGAGTTAGAGAGAGAATGAATGAGATAGAAGAACAAATAGAAGGTACCTCTCTTAGTGGCATCAACAGAAGCTTGGAACAATCTTCGCAATCTCGACATCTCTCTCTGTCCAGCGCCACCCCCAACAAGCGGTGACAGCCTCAGCCATCAACCATATCACTAGATGGGCCTAAGGGGCATGGCCTTCTCTTTTGGGCTTCTTTGGATTTCCTGGCCCAACTTTACACACCCAAAAATTTTGTGTAATACAATGAAAAAAAAACATTATCGACCAAAAACAATTACAAAAATTAAATGTAAAAATAGGTGAAACACATTTTACACTTATCTAATTACAAATCATCACTTATCATAAATTATTAATTTTTATAATAAATGAATAAAAAGTCACATTAATAATAATGTTTGATTAACTGTTTAAAAACATCAAATTCAATTAAAAATATATGATAAGTAAGAGAGTAAAATAGGATAGAAAATATAATAAAAAATCGTTTTTTATAAGTCTTCTGACACTTTTTTCTTTAACCAAATATCTTTCATTGAGTGAGGATATTTTTTCTCCATATAAATTCTAAACTCTAAAAATTTCTTTTCCCCTTATAATCATCATTAATTCAAATAATCAATGTTGTACATTTTCTCCAGATTCTCTAATTTCTATTTTTCTCTCCCCTAAATTCACCGATTTAAACAAAGTGTTATAGTTGATTAGCAACCATGCTTGATACAACTAATTACTTGAGAGATATTTATTGACATATTTTGATTATCAAAATAGGGTTGGAAGTTGGATGGCATTTATTGAGTCTACGGATGACCATGATAGAAAATAGAAAATAGCAAAGAATTTATTTCTTAAAAAAAAAAAACAAAACAAATAGTTTAGGCACACACACTAAAAAAATAGAAAATTGTTTATTTTATTAAAAAAAAACATTTTTTTCTAAAACAAATTAAACAAACAAGTTTTATGTGATTAGTACTCAACTTTTAAGTTTAGAGATGTCAAAAAAAACCTTGTACTTACAAATATCTACAGATAAAATCTACCAATAATTAAATGAGTATCATTTAATAATGAAACAAACACGAAGAATTCGTGCACACTTATAATTTAAAAATATTAAGAATATTCTTAATTATATATAAAATAATTTATTTTATTTTTACACCAAATATATATCATAATTATTTATTTTATTATAGATATATGTTACAAAGGCGATATATATATATATATATATATATATATAT